CCTGCATAACATTCACATAAAAGTTCCTTTACTACAAATATGTGCATATTTACAGACATTTGCTCATTCCACTATGTGAAATGTCAAAACTTCAAGAAATCTTCTCCTAGATTGGACAAGTATATAGTCAATTTAAAGCAATTTACTATTTTTTACTTTTTGTGTTTATAGAAATGTCTCCAAAGGCAAAGACCTTCCAGTTGCATCATAAAGTACAACAGCCTTTGAAAATAAGAGTACTTTAAAACAACCACGTTTGATGTTGTAAGTTTTAATTTGAGAAATACACACTCGAAATTGTTGTTTTTTTGCAATCCTTAACAATGGAGGAGGTAGACTCCATTTATTTTTAATATAGTGAATACAATTGTCCCAAATCACAATGTTGACCACAGCAATCACACATTATTACCTAGCCATATCGTGATATCTTTTAATACAAAAAAAATTCATTGAAATGGGATACTAAAAAAATTGGGTACTAAAGCTTCCACGTACTGTGAAGTGGAATTAAAAAAATACTTGAAGTTTTTTGGTGCTTCTACCCACCTCTGCCACCTCTGAGCCTTCGACCTCGATCGGAACCTCTGTCCACGAGGGTCACCTCCACACCATTCTCTTCAGGACGTGCTACACACAAAAACAGACTGATTTTAGGTGTAGTCTAATCATCCATGTTACAAAGAGGCTGAAAATGAATGAGCAGGGGGAGTTAAGAACGTAATGTAACTGTTTTAAAGTTTATTCCTCCTCCTACCTTGGCGGGTGCGATTTGAGGCCTTGCCCTTACGGGTGCCAGCAGGACGGCCTCTGCTGACCTCTCGCTCTCCTTTCTTCTCCCTGTTCTCTTTGTTTTCTTTGCTCTCTGAGAGACTATCCTTTAAAAGAGCCTTCTTCTTTCCTACTGTTTCCCATGAGGTCTAAATAATAAAAAAATATGTATCATAGAGTAAGAAAAAGTTCAAGATTCCAATATATAAGTAGAAATAAATAGTCACAAATAGGAAAGTGGATTTAAATATGAAAATAATGACCATGTCAGAACTGCTCTCCAGGAGGAAATTAATGGCTTTGCTGACATCCTCATTGCAGTCATGAAGAGCTACCATGCACTCGTCCTGGTTCTTCCCGGTCACCTCCATCAACTGTAAATAACAACATACACAAAACAGTAAACAAATGTGAAATGCTACATTTAAAAATTATCTAGTCATTTTCTGGGTCTCCTTGGCATTTATGTTGATGTAACAAGGGCCGGACTGAAACAAGCTATCTTTAGGAACTGTGCATTTTGCATTTTCACTGGAGATGTATGAGAGGGGCATAGAACACTGGAGAACGAGGAAGCACAGTTTTTAGCAAGGTCAACATGAATGAAGGAATGTGGGTCACATGAGAGGCCTATTGTCTGATAAATGTCCTAGGTGTTACTCACCTGATTAACTTTGTCCTCAAAATCTGAGTCATTCTTATCATAGATCATCTGGGCAAACTGAATCTGTTCTGCACTGGCCTGCTAAGACAACAGGGAAAAGTCTAGATTAAATTTTTGTCAAAGAACCAAAGCAAGTAAACAAAACGAAAAAGAATTAAATAAAAACGTCACTGTATGACACTGTCTTACCTGTATTTGTTTCTGTGGTTGAGATAAATGAGCAGCAGTGGGCAGCACCTTTTCCCGAGGGCCCTGGGTCTTGTGCCCACACAGCAAGCTCATTATATACAGTATATAGAAAACTATGTATATACAAAATTAAAAAAAATCTGAAACAGAAACAAGAAATATCAAAGAATAAGTGAAATACACTGACAATTCCAAAACAGACAAAGAGAAATGTAACCAAGATAAATTCACTAGAATTTATCAACACAAACATAATTGCAAAATTAACTTGAAGAGTGTTGAGCTTCCCATAAAGAGAAACGAGATTAAACTAGACTGATATAACTAAATTCTGGTCTACCAAAATTGGGGAAGTGATCAATCTGATACTCAGGGTCGGTATCTGTTCGATATTGGTGAAAAATTACAGGATCAAACATCAAAGATCAAACTCATGGCATGCTGGAGGAGAAAAGAAGGTATTGCATTGATATCGGTATGGGCACACACTCCAAGGTACAGTATTGGACATGAAAATGTTCCATCGGGGTGCCCCACTTTTGTCTGGTCCACTCTGGTTGTCTGACATGGGCAAAGCAAGACTTGGTAAGAAGCACTAATGATTTCAGTGACAATACTGTGTCTGTAATGGTCTTTGCTGTATTTCCAAAACAACACTGTTGCTCCTGAGCAAATTTGTTTGTCTGTATACACCTCATTATTATGTCTTCTGAAACTTGTCAGTCACAGGATTTGTAACTGATGGATTGATTGATTATATGTATAGGCTTGACAGCTTAGCAATAATGCACAGTCATGCACACTGCCTTTGTATGTACACACAGACACAAGACACACAGCTGGTCTGGTCATGGAACAGCTTTGAAGCAAAATCTAGGTCAAGAAACAACCCAGGGTACTGTTACAAACAGGACAAAGCAGTGTGTGTAGCAGAACACATACCACTCACTCTTCACATACACTCTCTGCTGGATAGTATAGAAAAACAAGGATTTTACATATGCACAAACACAGTCAATACTATATAATGTAGCCAGTTTACTATGGTGCAATTACTGAGAGCACATGAAAACAATTGAGGTTTTGGGGCATATTTGGAATTTTGACTATGGGGCTGGATGACAGTACAGTTGGGTGAAAAATGAAGGGAAAAACACACATGACTACAACTTTGTTTCTTCCTCTGTGACAGTAAAGCAGCACTCTAATAACTAATTATATATATATATATATATA